ATTACAGCCCTCATTTAAAATGAATTACTGCGCAGCCATTATGAGAGGTTGACCTCAGTGTAGTCGTATCTAGACAAGCATCCAAATGCCACTGGGGGGGATATCATTAATCTCATATTAATAAAGAAATCAAACTGAATTATGGATGTCCACAGCGGATGGGGAAGCATTTTAAAGCACCAAAGGTTAAGTGTGAAATCAGTGCTTATAAATGAGCGTATAAAAATGCAGGGGAGTGAAAGGAGAGAAACAGCGAGTGAACGCAACCTCTAAAAAAGCAGGATTGTCTAGTCACGCTTTTACCGGCACAGAGCTTTTACCGAGTGCATCAAGACAGCCATTTTTACCAGATCATTATGGGCTCTGCATTATGAACCACATTGTAGCGTCGTTCAACATTCTCCTTTTGAAAGAAATACAATGCTTTAAAAAGAAGAGCACCTATAATGGAAATAAGAACATATATGTTTCAGATAATTGCATGTTATTTGCAATTAAATAGAAAAAGTTTATATTAAATGCAATTAGCATTTTTATAATTACTTCTATTGTTTTTGAAATATGGTTAAAGTGCTGAATGTACATGCATGCTAACTTTTACGGTAAAAATTGAGTTTAATGTAATTGAAATGTATTGAAACTTGTTTATCATGTATTTACACATTTGTAAAGATAAAGTTGTGATTTAGTACATTTGAACATAGTACATAAGCACATGTAACTTTAAATGTAATACTGAATAACACACTACAGTTAAATTAAAATATAAGTAAAACATAAAAACATGATTTTTGTGATTCAGCTAGTTGCCAAAGCAACATTTCTCATTTACATTTAGTTTAACTTGATGTACTAAAATCATTTTTAAAAATTATAAACACTACAGATATATTTAAAAACAATAACTAATATGACAAAACACAATAAATTAACTAAAACCTTAACTAAAATTAAAATATGAAAACTAACCCAAAATACTGATAAAACTATAATAGTATCTCAATTATAATAAAATTACACTGACTTCTTTAAAGCATTATTGAAACCAAATGATTTACAATTTACTTCAAAGTAATTTGACATTACAAAGTGCACTTTTAAAAAACTGTTAAAACAGTTATTAAAGTGTATATTGTCTAATATTATATAATCTGCAAGTCCATTTTTTTTTTATATATAAGATTTGAAGTACACTACACGTGCACATTCAAAACAATTAAGCGCACTTTTTTTTCACAGGGGTTTGCATGGACAAAAAAATGCCATCATCTAGGATGCTTTTATCATTGACCCTGAGGGCTTCTTTGTGATTTTATTATACCTCCAAGCTCTGTTAACTCACCATGAGCTCTGATGTACATATGTACTACCAGAAGCCCCAGGGAACTTCAAAAACTGCAGACAGAATGGAAAAGCCTGCATCTCTCCCTGCTGAAGTATGAGAGGGTAATTGAATTGTCTTCTGAAGCTTGACCTATGACCCGGCCAGTTTTGTATGCAACCAGCGAGGGTGAAATTCATAATAGGAATCCATGGCAGCTCCCCTGTGCCAGCACCGGGTGAATCTGATGGCAGGGGACCATTGAGGCTCTGCAGGTAATCCAGTCAAATGAGAAGCCTAGCCGGGGAATCCTTCACAGCAAAGACTATGGATATGGGCTCAACATCTTTAAATGATTTCTGAGACTGATGCTAAGAAAGCCACATCAGCTTGATCGCTGATGTTATTTCAGGAATATTTTACAGTGAATGGCTGGACATAATGAGAGCAGGAATCGAATCGGATATGGAGACAAATGACCTGAATTGAATTGAACAAACTCATCAACACTTACAAAAAGTTTCAGTCCTTAGTGGAGAGGATTCGACTTAAAGGTAATAATCACAACAAACTGCATGACAAATGATTGTAACATTTAGCTGTGCCCTTTGACCCGTTGTTGTTGTCGTGTGTGTTTTGAGAAGGTGAATACTCCAGGAAGAAGTAATCTCTCAGAAAGCCTTTTTCTCTCTTTCCTTCTCCATCATAGACAGTTGGTACCATGAAGACACACTCGGGGGGCAGCAGATGTCAGTGAGACCGCCTTTGTTTCCATTCTCTTCACTCTGGACCACCTCATTGCAGTAGTCCATTGTCATTAATTTGCTGTTGGGGGATGTTCACACTCCTCCTCTTCTGTCACTGACCATCATTTAGTAAAACACTGTAAACTCTACAACTCAGTCTACATGGGAAGGTGAATCTCTATCTATCTATCTATCTATCTATCTATCTAGTCTGTCTGTCTGT